TATGTTGAAGTAGAAATCAATAAATAAAATTACTATCTTTTATTATTTGTTGTCTATAATACAAGATTATGTGGTTTAAAAACTTGTTGATTTGTCATTAGCATAGATGGTATTGACTTAAAAAAATATGTTATAAGATACTCCTTGTTCTTACAACAAAAAATATAGAAGAGCAAAGAATTCTTATTGCATTCAGTATTGTGAATGCTGAAAATATTGATAATTGGCTATTTTTTTGGAAAAAACTAAAAACAATAATTCTTACAACTTGTCTATTAAATCATAAACTTTTTAGATTTATATTTTTGTTTAATTGACAAAAATACCTCATTAATGTTATCAACCATGTATTTTGCATGTGCCATTTAGTTGAAAACTTACAATAATAATTTAAAAATACAATGCTTATATATTTGTGAATATCAACATAGACAATGATTATTTCAAATTTCAATGTGAAACCATCCAAATTTTGGATTGTATTCAAAGAAGTTGTAGAATACTTTATAAGCACTTAAAGACAATATTAGATATTGCCATTCTTTGACAAAAACTAATTTGGCCACATGATTTTAAATATTTTAAAAACTCTAAATTCTTAGATCTTCGAAGCATGTAAGATGCCATTAATTCTAATATTGGAAACAATTTGGTAGTAGCTTATAGCATAGTATAATGAATGATATATAATTATCAATATAATTATTGGACCATTCTCAACTAAAGCAAAAGAGGAGATTAAATCGTCACAGATACTTGTATACAAATATTGCATCATTTTTTTCATTTGATACTATTTTTGAATGCTTGTTAAAGCAATCACCTCATATATTAGATTTATGAAATTGCACATGCACTTGCAACAAGTGGTATCTATTTGAAATCCTATGTATGCATGCAATCAGCACTTTGCTCTTCATGCAACAATCAATCGCTGACTATATTACTTCCCTTAATATTGCTCAAGCCTTACAAGTAATTTATACAATAACCATCAGGTTAATATCATCCATTGAGTATTGAACTAAATCAAGCAATAACAAAATTGATGTTGCTTCGATTCTACCATCCTCTATACAATGTTTACATTGCCACCTAAAAAACCATTACATTTGTATGGAAGATATGAAAAGAGTTAAAAGAATGTTTAGATCCAATCAATGTAAGAATATTGGAGATAATTGCTTGACTTGCTAGAAATCAATTTGATTGTAGTGCTAAAGTGCTACTTAATGTGATGTTTAAAGATGTGATGTTCAAAAAAGAGAAAGTAATATATACTTACATAATAGAGCCTACATATAACCATGTGAAATCCAATTTTTTTGTTTCATGGTTTTAAATCTAAATTTTACGAGCCTACACAATACGTAGTTATATGGCAAAATGGTACAAATGCAAATTTTTTAATAATGCACAAGAATTTAATAGATATAATCTTTCATTAAAATTCATTTAATTTTTTAAATTTCTTTTATAATTTCTTATAACTAAAAATAATCATTTAAAAATATTTTTTGATAAGTAAGTTAACTTATGATGTTGACATTCAACTAAGAAGATATAAATGTATGTCTTTACACCCAAGTGTTTGTTTACAAAGCTTTCTTGAGATATTTTGATTTTTTTTTTAAATGATTAATTAATAATAAAATTTTAAAATTGAATATTTAAAAAAATATAATTTTTTTTAAAAAATAAATTTATTTTTTAAAAGCTTTAAATTTTATTTCTTTATTATTTTAACATTTAATAGTGTGTTTTGATTTTTAGTTTTTTGATCCAACAGCATAAGAACTTAATTGAAAATCAATTTTTGTCTTTTTATATAAAAAAATATTTATTTATTAATAAATTTTCTATTTTAAAAATATATTAAGAATTTTATTATTAGAACTATAATAAATTTATTATAAAAATTATATGTAAAATAATTTCGAACTAAAAATGTAATAAGTTTTATCAATTTTTGTATATTTCTAACTGATACATGATTTTTTTCTTTTCTTTGTATCACTTTATTTTTTTCTTATTTTATCTATTCTAGAAAAAATATATATATATATATATATATAAATATATATACACACACTTATTTTTAATTTTTTTGAATCATTACAACTCTAAAACAATGAAAGTACACAAAATTTATTCATGGAATGTGAATTAGCAATTTATGGAATACACAGAGAATAAATAGCAATATTATTCCATGTGAAATAGCAATTTACATAAAATATAAAAATGAGATATCTTACCACAAATAGATTATGAACTACTTTATGACTTAGTTCAAAATCTAATATTTATGCAAATATTATAAGAAATAATATATATATATATATATATATATATATAAAGATTTTTTTAGTTTTTAATATTTGTATTATTTAGAAATTATTATATCAGTTTAGTTTAAAATATTACATTATTTAATTTATAAATCATCTTGTATTTATTTTTCATAATATTATAAGATATTATTTAATATGCTTATAAGTTTTATTTTAAGAAATTTTAAAATGTATGAAGTCTTTCACATTAAAAAAAATCTAAATTGATTTAAAATCTGTTCTTTGTATTCTTTTGAAAAGAATATAATTTATTATTATTATTTTTTATTGATAGTTAAGATATATGATTAAATTTAAGAGAGAATAATTTTTCATGGAATGTGAAATAGCAATAAATTTTCTATACAAAACTAAATTAAATATCTTTAAAATAATTTCAGATAATTTAATGTAATAATTTAATTTAATATAAATCTATGTAAAAAATTTAGATATTAGATAAAGATAGTTAAAATTCATATTCAAAGCACAAGGACATTGGTGTAATGTTTGCAATTGTCTTTAATGAAAATTTTGACTTTTTGTTAAAGCCATAAGTATATTCACAAGTAAATCAAATTTGTGTTCTCTAAAATCTTGTTATATAGCAAATTTTATATAAACTCCAAGAATAACAAAATAAGTGTATGTAATAACAATTGAGTTGTGAGTGATATGGCACCATGGATTATTACACTTGAAATCCAAGGTCGGAGCTTATAATCCCAAAGTTGATTTAACTACAACAACTAGAGCAATATATAAGATTGTTGCCATGCTCAAGGACAAAGAAAAATACTACATTCTAAACTTAGGAACTTAAAATCAAGATCTTTGATGCAGCATTGTTAATTGAAGATGATCAACCTTCACCATCCATGAATGAAATGAAACCTTTGCAATGGCTGGCATCCCTATTCCAAGAGCCTACTCTCCTAGTCTTAGTCTCACAATGCACAAGGAGCCTCAATTCATCTTTAAACCAAGAATAGACACATACTTCAAAATCAAGAATCTCAATATTGTGTGCATCAAAACTAGAGGCAATGGAGGACGAGGGGCTATAAAGAAGAGAGCCCCATGTTATGCACTATTCAACTATTGTGGCACTCTCCTTTTTTTGATAGTTTGCCCAAGAGTACACAACATGTGAGGGACTTCTTCTTTTATTGAAATGTATCTATATAAAGATAAAAAGAGTAATAGAATTGTTGCACCTTTGTCACATTTTTATATCTTATTATATTGGAGGATATATTTGTTGTTATAAAAAATTCTAAGGATACATTTGTTATTATCAAGAATGTAGGAATACTCTCGATATTTCAACATATTCAAGAGATATGTATGATATTTTTCCACAAAGAAATTTCTCACAAAAATAAATATCTATATATATATATATATATATATATCCTAATAGATAAGAGAATAAAATAATTGGTTCTAAAGTTTTGTCGTCCTAGTCCTCCTTCCCATCCTCAAAGTGGTGCGGAGATCCACCCTGCCATAGCCATGGCATCCTCTATCCTCCTCATGGCTCCTCTTCTTCAAGACTCCCATCGTCACTATCACCGCTACTTATGAAGAGCCCTAGTGCTCAGTCTCTCTTGTTGGGTGTCCGGAACCCAAAGCCACGATGCCACTTGTTGGCCTCGGAGATTCTTTCTGCTGTTTGTGCCCACGAAAACCAACTTTGTGATTTCCTTTTTAATCTCCCCACCTGGACTTTGATCACCTCGTGATGTCGGTGCTACGTTTGCGAGGTTGGTGAACAGGAGGAGCCGTCGTGCTTCCTCTTCATCGAGTTCATGTTGATCCCATGAACTCTGGGTCAACTCTGTGATTTCGATGCTTGAGGTGCATTGAAACAAGATCAGTCTCGGTTTCGCACCAGAGCTACCCCCTCGCGACTACGCCCAAGTTCCCCCAGGTGAAGGTTTCCAAGTCGCTGGTTGATGCCGGTGTCAAATTGTGATTCCATCTTCATGGCCACCACCTGCACAACTAGACCCGACCAATTGCAGTAGTACTGTTTTCTCCAGGCGTTCACTCCAGTGGTCCAAGATTAATCTCGTTTTTCTCTGTTCAGAACCACGCATGAAAACCCATGAAGGACTCGCAGACATGTAGTCTCTACTACAGCTAAGAATACATCCACGATAACCTCGTGGGCCACCAATTTCAGATGCATGTTGGCCCTAGGACTCCATCTACGGTCCCAATTATCCAAGCTACTTATAAACCAGTAAGTGCAGGTGAGAACCGAAAATGATCCAATCTACATCAATGCTAGGTACTGCATAGTTGATCGACTTTGTGGCTAATCGAGTTGAAAAGTTCTCCAAAAATAGGGGTACTATCCAACAGCCTGTCCCCATATTTATCACGTTGTAGATACTTTCTTTCACACAGCGAAGAAATAAGCTGCACCGAAGGGGATTTACTAACGACATGGGTGTCTCCCTCACGTCCAGGGATCTATTTGTCGATTAAAACTGAGGTGATGACAATCGATTGCTATGAACGAGAAATCCCATGGTACTGAGAATTATCCACTGCGAAGTACACGGAGTGTCCGTGACGCGAAATGGATTGTAATCGACGTTCTTGAAGCATTGCTCGACGAGCTTGAAGCCTCAGTCGTGATGCAGCATAACCACTGCTGCCACAATCCATCGATAATTACTTTCCCTCAACCACCCAGAATCAGAAAATGTTGTGGCTCATCACTACCCAGCTCTCGAGAGAAGCCTGGGGTACAGGATTAGTAGCACCGGTCTCTCGTGTCGATCTGCATCGAAATGCTTTTAGGACTTGAGCCTTGTCGAATGCTGACGTTGCGTGTCATCCGTGGTTACTATTTTCTTCCAGGACAATGTAGGGCCACATTCCTATGATTGTGTCCACACGTCCTTGAAGAACTGGGCACGGCCTCGAACCCGAAAACTTCTCGTGCATCTACAGTGTTGCAGAAGATCTCGCTGTCGTTTGTTACTGCCTTTGAATTGCAGAACACTGTTGTTCTGCTGTCTTGTGGCGGTGTGAGTGGCAGTTCCAACTTCATATTTCCCAAGGTGTATTTCCGAACGTACGGCATCAGTACCTAGAAGCAACAAGAAATTTTGCTAGTCCGTTGTAAACTTGCAGCAGTCTGAAGTACCGAAGAGTGAGATGGATATACCTGCAGGAAGTAGAAACAATGTTGGGAAGTGAGCGACGGTTTGTGAAGAACCTGGCAACTTTTCTTCGGAGCATTTTTTTGATCTTTAGCCAAGAATGTCTGTGTGAGATCAGAGGGTATCTTGAGCTGCTGGGGCTGCCCCGTGGATCTTCCAACGACGAACATCGAACGTCGGTACTCATTGTTTGGTACGAGTACTTTCAAGTCCAAAGAACAAATTTCTTTCAAAAGAGCATTCGTGAAAATTGTCAGAACCTAGGCGTAGAATTATAGCAACTTCTGTCGACAGTTTTGCGTGGAGAGATAGATTTATGAAAGTAAACTTTCAGAGATCTGGATTCCAAAGCCCATTACCTGATGCAGCCTTGAAAGTTGTGATCGAAAAATAGTATGTAATAGGTTCGGATAGGTGGAATGGATCAGGCGGTCAAAATGGCAGGTGAATACGGCACAACAATGAGTCCTGAAGCTTGTGGAGGAGAAGACAAAGCAATCTATGGCACCGCGATCATCAAGGATGGTGGAGCACTGTTTGTGCTGGAATCTAAAGGGAACTGGAAGCATGCTGGCTTCCATCTTAGTACATCTATTGTGGCTCCTGCACTTCTCAGCCTTCCCTATGCAATGAAGGGCTTGGGATGGGCACCTGGCTTTCTGGCTCTTATCATCGGAGCTGTCGTTTCCTTCTACGCTTACATGCGGATTTCCAAGGTACTCGAGCAGGCAGAATTGGAAGGTCATCGCCTCCTCCGCTTTAGGGATATGGGGGGTTATGTCCTAGGTACGAATCATCTCAAAATCACCATTCTCTGAACGCAGTGTGCGCGATTACGAATTTGCTGAAGAGAATGGTCGATTCAAATCATGTTTCATTTGACGATGAGTATCTGCATCTGACTTGGTGAATTATTCCAATACGTGTAGGACGTACATGGGGCTACTACCCTGTCTCCGTCCTTCAAATTGGTTTGTGCTTGGGCGCTATGATCGGTTGCATTGTCCTCGGCGGCCAGAGCATGAAGGTGCAGTACCCATAATTTTTCAAGGAATTGTTAGTGTGTTTACTATTCTTGAATAAAGTCTTGTTTTTTTCCATCATCTACAGCTGATGGTGGAACTTCGGATGTCCAGCTGATTTACAAGGTGTTTCATCCCAACGGCTCAATGCAACTATACGTGTTCACGATTATCTTCGGGATGGTGATGGCGGTGTTTTCGCAGCTGCCCTCTTTCCACTCTTTACGCTACATCAACTTGTTGTCTCTGCTGTGCAGCCTGGGATACAGTCTTAGTGCAGTTGGAGGTTGCATCTATGCAGGTGGTTTACTCGAAAATCCTCATTATCCTTTCACATGGAAGTGTCCAGAATGTATCTTGTGCGAAATTTAGTATGTCGTTTCTATCACTAAAATGAGTAGAGCTTTCCGGGCAACGAAAGATGGATTATATAACTACATTTTAACGATTGAAGAGGGGATAGATAAAAATACGAAAATGAAAATCTAGTGATTCCGGTATTTAGCTTTCATTCTTAAGAATTCCATCATCCCATGCGTGTGAAAGATCATGTCCCAGCAAACGGTTCTGTAACGAGCACCGTTCTGAATAAATTGGCAGGCCACTCAAACGAAGCGCCACCCAGGGACTACGCAGTTGTAGGATCTCCAGGTTCCAAAGCGTATGGTGTGTTCAACTCTCTGGTGATCATTGCCACAACCTACGGTAATGGCATCATTCCCGAGATTCAGGTACTCACCTAGCGAACAGATAATCACTTGTTGAATTCGCACTTGGACAACGGAATTGCGCAGCATTACTCCTCTTCATGTGCAATCTCAAAGATTCACTTCAATGAAAACTGTGGCAGAAAGTTGGGTGAACCAGTTTGTGATTTTCGCCAACTAATGCGTTCTTTTTTTGGATTCAGGCAACGTTGGCTCCACCTGTTACAGGAAAGATGTTTAAGGGTTTGCTTGTCTGCTACGCAGTCGTTATAACCACGTTCTTCTCCGTGGCAGCAGCTGGATATTGGGCATTCGGAAATGAAGCCCAGGGAAATATTTTCATTAATATTGAACCTTTTGTTCCCAAGTGGCTCAACTTCCTGTCTAATGCCCTCGTGCTTGCACAACTCCTGGCTGTAGCCTTGGTAAGCTCCCACAGCATGCCATCAGAGTCTGATTCTAATTGTTGCTTCATATGTTGCAGTCGTGTTGCGAGGGCTTGCGCCGATTGATGTCTGACGAAGTATTGTACATGTTGCTGAGTCTTGCAGGTATACGCACAGCCGACCTTCGAAATCTTTGAGGGCAAATCGTCAAATATACAGAAAGGCAAATATTCCGCCCGAAACCTTGTCCCACGTCTCATCCTCCGATCTGCACTTGTGGCTATTACCACACTCATAAGTGCAGCTATACCATTCTTTGGAGACATTAATGCCGTGATCGGTTCCTTCGGCTTTACCCCTCTTGACTTCGTCCTGCCATTCATCTTGTATGCTGGTGTCTTCCATCCCTCTCCTAGAACGCCCAAGTATTGGCTCCACTGGACTATCGTCATCGTATTTAGCATTGTTGGGCTACTGGGATGCGTCGCCTCCGTCCGTCAAGTAGTTCTCGTTGCCAGCACATACAAATTATTCGCTAATATAGTTTGAGCATGCAAACTAACTTGTAAAGCAGCCAGAAGGCGTCAAGTTGATTAGAGAAATGTTCTGCACATATGTGCCCGTGACCAATCTATGATGCGGTGTGACAGTTATGATATAGATTACTTTCGGGCCAGCTGTGCGACGGACCAGTTCCCCACATGAGATTTGTACACCCACAATCACAGTCAACTAAAGCAGAATGCTGCATGCAAAGAGTGGAATATGAATGTGCAAACAATTCCATCGAAAAATCTGAGAAGTATACTAAATGAAACAAATATTTTTGGGACGCTTTTGTTACCACATGCTAATTAAATTTTATATTAGTAACAGCTTGAATCTATACACAATACGTCTCTGAAATTTGAATAACTCAGTCCAAAGTTGTCAAACTCAACTGTGCGGGGAACCGATGATACTCAACAGAAATATTGGCACCTACATTGAGCAACTGATAACATATTGGCAGTTTACTCCAGTCGCCCGTTACCACATCGTACTCTATCATGAAGTCTACGCTTGCTGATAGGCATATTCGGGTACCATGTCTAACACATACAATGTCACCTACATCGTCATTCTCTAACCACCCTTTCTGTAAATCAAGAAGCAGTTCCTCACTTAAGCTTGTGACCTCAGTCCATTCTTTTGAGACCCCTTCAGATTTTGAATGCTCACTCACACCAGAACATTCAATGGGAGTATTACTTGTAAGGGCCTCAAGTTTGAGAATGCTCACGCTGGTGACAACGCCCCCACATGTTCCCCCGTATCCACTCGCAAGTACCATATAAACAACCCCACCACACTCCACCACTTGGGTCAACTAGTAATCGCTGCTATCGTCTGGCGGTGACGGTATGTTATGCAACACTTTTCGCCACGCCTCAGCTTGGATATCATAGGCTATGACACCAAATTGGTTAAGAGGGCTACTCACTGCCCCACAGTACACAGCCGTCCTGCATAAAGCTGCAGTTGGAAGATACGGGAACAGTTGGGATGGAGGCTGACAATCGACGATACTCCAATCCCTTGTAGTCGATCTATAAATTGCAACACTCACAACGACCCTGAGCGAACGTTCCCGACCACGACGACCCTATACGATTTTGTGAGATGATCTACCAAAATGTTTACTGAACACGTACGCAGCAGCGACCAATTGGGTGCAAATTGTGGCAGCTCGATACATGTTCGCGCCACAGGATTGCACAAAAACAGAGTTGAATTACCTTGAAAGCATAGAATTCCTTCAGCAGCAGCTACAAGCATTAAACCTTGACGAGGTAAAAAGTCGAGTGGAGGCAACCTTTGCCATGTCTCCGTCGTATGGTTGTACCCAAAGAATCCGTTAAACAAAGAATTCACAGCTTGCTCAGGGTTGTATTGCTGATCAGGGCAACGTGCCATGAAGGAACGCGATGTCATAATTGGAAAATACGGTTCATGGGACTGACCACTAAATAGATTCAGAAACTCCGGAGATGAAGTAAGCAAGTTCCATTGCTTACATACCGTGCGAGCACGAAAAAGTTGAGGCACTGATAGTCGCGCCAACACTCTCATAGCAATATCTTTAGGTAACATGCTCCACACATCCGACGTAGAAACGGATTCGTTCTGTTCAGGTGAAGAAGCCATGCTCCTCTCGATGGACACAGTTCCGTCAATATTGCTTCGTGACACTGCCGAGATTTCCTTACAGATTCAGTCCACCAGAGTTAAGTCTCGTCACCACATCAACTTCCAGCCGCTGCCAAGACAAGTCGTAACTCCAAAATGTGAGAGATCCTCTAAACTCCACAGTCAAAACACTTCCCGCTTAAAACTCTCGGTCTGGAGCGATCAAGAAACCTACGCTTGAGTTACCACTTGCACAAGTACTGCAAATTGCATCTTGGCCTATTCAGTGGCACAATTGATGAGTACACTGCCGGCGTCGTCTTCTGAAAGCTCGACGACGAATTTCAAGGCGAGTTTTGACCCGAGTAGCACCATAGCTCCACAGAATGGACGCAGCACACTGATGCCAACCTCGACGCAGCTTGCGGCAGCTTTAGGGCACGGGCGAAAAAGCAAAAGGATGTGAGAGTACCTAAAGAGTAAAATTAATGGCATGAAAGCAACCTAAGTGTTAGAGGACAGAAAAGTACGGGGGTGTATAATCGTTCAATCTCTTCCTAGAGAAAAAAAAAATAAATAAACTATAATAATTCGAACATGTAGCTTGGAACCTCACCCAGAGCGTGAAAGAAATGATTGGATTTTTCATGTTTTTATGTATTTTACATGTTGTACATAAAGTATTGTATAGTATCTTTGTGCATAGCTTTTATGGTACTATGTACCTTTTCATGAATATTTTTATTGGTTTCAACAAATAAAATAAAATACTTGAAATCGTAAAACTGTACATTTAAGGAAAAAAATTAAAAATTAACAAAGTGTTGTTTTTATAATACAAATTCACTTAGGTTCTATTGCAAGCTACTGTTGAGTTTCCATCGGCCATTCTTTTCAACTTCTTCTTCTCTTAGATATCGTATTTTCTGTGGCTAAAATGATGATTTTTTGATTTTGTCGTGGTAAAAAAAAAGGACTATCAATGCCAGCATCTCAACAGTAATGGTTTTTCTTAATGACAAATATATGTGAATTCTGATGTAACTTGAACACAATAAATGTTTGTAGAATGTCAATGTATTTGATATTGAATACTTCAATCATACAGTTTGAAGTCATACAATAAAACAATTTTTTGATTTTACATTGATTATTTTGAATAGTGACATAGACTGTATATAAATAGTAACAGTTTCAATTCAATAAAGTGCATGGTATTTTTCAAAACACAAAATTTAGTTGCATGTTCAAAATGAGTTAGACTCTGATCAGTATAATCCCACTGAGTTTTCAGATTAAACCACAGATTCAGGGTTGGGAGCCATACAATTTCAGAAAATTGTTCCAACTATTCAAGCAAATGTGTTGCTTGTTCCAATGATGTTGATATGTATTATATAAGTAATGTGAATTGTAGGATCCTTCAATGACTTTTTTTGTGGAGTTAATACAATCAAAAGTAAAATCAATTAAATTTCCTACGAAACATCTTTTTTTAGAATACGCTTAGTAGATTAACCTTGAATGTTTTATTAAGACACTCAGATTGCCATATTTATTTATTTTTTAATAATTTTTTGAGGATAAAATTGATTAATATAATTTATTATTATTTTTTATTGTTAGAGACTTAAATATAGTTGGTTTAATTGTGAATTGAAAACAGCTGAGAAATTGTTACAAACATGTGTAGATTGTTTTAATCACAATTATTTAATTATCTATTTCTTGCACACAAAATTGAAGACTCTTCAAAACTCAATTTTGGTACAAGTTTCAACCTTGGCTACTTAATAGAGAACTTCAAATGTAAATAATAATTTCATGGTTTTATCTACAACAAAACATGTCTCAACTCATAAAATTTATATTTATTGCACATAATTCTTTTATGGATATTACATGTTATGGTTGCTTGTAATTACTGTGTAAGTACTGAAGTCCTAAAGTTAATAAATAAATTTGATTAAACTTACAGACTTCTCGCTCGAGAGTATTCTGCACTCGAAACAGTTCAACAGGGTATGTCGAATTTGACCATGATAAATGATTTTAAACAGCTATGTAGATGTATTTCATCTATTACTAGTTCACCTAAAATAAAACCTGGCCGCGACCCTAGAATAAGGTAGATTAGCTATTTCAGGGAAAGCCCTAGTTTAAAGTGGCCTGGTCATCACCTCTGCATTCATTGCATTGTGACACAGTATATCAGTTCGAATGTCAGTATTCATGTACGCCCTGCAAAAAGCGACAACTATCACTGACATGCATGTACAGTGCTACTGAGGACTGGTTAACATCAGAAAGTTAAGATATTTAAAGAATATTGCACTCCAAGTGGCAGTTTGAGAACCCAACTACTTCTTTATGACCTCTGCTTTGAGAATGTACCTTGAGCTCGAGTGCACAGGCTCCTCTCAGAGTCTCCAACTTCACAGATAAAGACGGTGGGTGCTTGGGTTTCGTGACGCTACCATCTCCACGTAAAACTATCAATCTCACAATAATATCTCATCTTCGCACAAAATATCTTTCAACTTTGAGCAGGTCACAATCCCCACATTTTCATTAATAATGAAAGAATGACTATAATGCCCAGCTCGGGCCTCTTCAATGTAATTAAATCAACTGATCTCGCCGAAGATAAATCTCGCAACACATGAGCTATGAATTTCAGCTCCAACCCTCTTAGCATTACAAGCAATGCCATGATACGCTACCCGCCTACAAATCTCAGTTTACAATTTCGAGTTAGCCTTGCTGTTTGGAATCTGCAATGCCTCATAGTGACCAAATCCATGATAGAGGACCCGAATCGGGTCAATCTTACCGTGCTCTTGACCATATTCAGCTATGGCAATCAAGCCGCTTTTGGTTTTCTCTTCAGTCATGTACACTGTAATAGGCATTCTGCAGACCAAAATATAAACTCGAACGTCAGCACATTTACAAGACAAAAAGTGACCACCAACAGAGGAACCTCCAATTGCACGGTACTTGATTATGATGTTTAGAGGAACTTACTCAAGTACGTGGGAAAGCATGAGAAGCTCTGGTTCACCACCCCACACATACGTCTGGCGCATCCGCTCTACATATTGGTCAAAATCTCCCTCAATGAACCACTCGGTTGAATCTCTTCGCTTGATTAGCTCATCGGCGACTTTGTTACGTAATTCATCAGCAAGCTCCCGTTGAGCTGTCTCGTCTGGAGCATCTTTCCCGCGGCGCAAACATGAGCCATGTGCCACAGCACGGAATAGACACCGCCCATCTCCAGGGATCCCTATCATCGCAACACCCAGCAGACAATCGTGAGCAAAAACTACAGCCGTATGAATGAAGAAAACACTCATTAAAAAAATGTAATAAACATAGCACTACATACGCTGAGGACATTAAGAAACTAGTGTGACATTGGACAGTAAAGAGCCTCTAAGTCTTACCAGTGACAGTGTAATCTGTAATAATTTCCTTCCCGTGTCCACAATGTTCGGTTTGCGGTGTTACCAGAGTTGGGTCCGCGGATTTATTTTCAGGATCTGAGAGAGCAGTTGGTGGAGGTAGACTATCTACAACAGCTTCAGCAACAACAGGAGACGATTCCGCAGTTATCAACGGCACAGCGGCTGCCGAAAAGCAGGCGCAAACACCAAACAGAAGCCAAGCAGAATGGCGGCCATGCAACCAACGGGCCGGACGCGCATCCCAAGCAACATTCCATGATCCTTCGCTCAGACAACCAGCCATAGCAGTTCTGACATTCAAGCTGCTCAGTCTTGGGAGGCCAATATTATCCACCGACAATATACCTGACCGAAGAGTTCCCAAAGACTTCGAGGGACTATTGACCTGCGAATCATGAAAACAAGAATAAGAACAAAAATCAAATATATTTAAACAAAATACAATTACATGAAGTACATTCTGATCTTGTAATCAGGCTCTGAGGAGCGCAATAGCATGAAATAGACTAAACTAAGGCTTGTCCCACATGAATATGAAGGAAATTGAAATAGAATTCGAGCAATTGAACACCATCCCACTAAGCGCAGCTGGCAAACACTTACCAAAGTGGGGTCAGGACTTCCAAGAATCATATTTGCAACAGGATCGATTCCACTTCTTCCAGCAGATAATGATCGAATTGAGGGCAGGTTGGAATCGCATTCCAAAGGTGTAAGATGTCTTGCGGGAAGAAGCGCATGCCAAATTGTTGCACCCACTTTCCCATCAGCTGCCAAAATACAGGAGCTTGCATGGTTGTGAAAACTTGTCATGCTAGAGCAAGGAAACATGTGACCACATGTCTCTTGGTTTGATGGTAAGGATGCATCTTGAAGCGATTTGGTCCCCGCATCCGACCTCCGGAATGTTCTTGACAAAGAAGCAGTGGCCGGCGCCCGTGTCACGAGTTTTAAACTATGGGCACGAGGACTAGAGGGGTGTAGCGTAGGGAGCGCCACTTTTGCTGACTGAGGTGAATGTGTTTTTTGAGTGTGTAAGAAAGATCCCTCGAAACGTACTGGGGATCGATTAGAAGGGGGGTTCCCGACTGCAGAAAGGCCGCAACACACGGGTCCAAGCATGTGCCCTCTTAAGTCAGATGTCATAAACAAACACTTGCTCGTCTCGAAATTTAAGGAACCAAGGAATTTTCTAAGAAGCTTATTTCCAGAATCTAATGACCCTCAATTCATTCCGCTGTAGCACTATCAGCAAAAACGCCTGCAAAAAGATATGAAAAAAATTAAAAGAAAGTTTAGGAAAATCATACCATCTGCTTGACCTAGAATTGTAAATGTTCAAGGTAATGTCTACTATCTGAGACAGTAGTATCAGAGAACGCGCTACTCAACTCTCGTAAAAGTCAAAGACTAGATACAACACAATTCTAGATAAACAGAATATTTCAAAAGAACAGAAAATTGCCCATGTAATAAACCGCAATTTGATTCCGGCGAAGTCCAAACAACCTCGGATGCGTATCTCTAAAACTAGGACAACAAACTCTCAACCCACCAGGGGAGCAGCAGTCGTAGCGCATACTAAACTTTTAACCCCCTCCAAACTAGAAGACAACTCACCAACCAAATATCTCTTCAGGCAAAGAATGCGGCGTTCCAATTACACAAATCACAAGCCTCTTGAAGTTACACCCAACCCACTTCAATGCAAGCATGTACTCAAACCCAGTCGCTAAAGATAAGCATTCGAAATAAGCTCTCACAGCAATCCATAAAGCAGTGGATTCTACCCCTATACACCTAATGCGACCTCGCCACTGTATTGGTTCAACTCAACACTCAACACAATTCCTGTGGTCAATACGCCGCAACATTCTACAATCTCTCTCGCAAGATTCGCAATGAAGAAATCAACCGCACTTCTCTACTGCGAACAAAGTCGCCGCCAAGGACATCACCGAACCATACCACTACAGAATCGGAACACTAAAGACTAAAAAAGAAAAAAAAGAAAAAGAAAAAAGAATCAACAACAACAACAACAAAAACGAGCGCACCTGTATGTCCGTTCGGCAGCACTAGCAGAAATGCCCAGAGTTTCTCCCTGTGAACTCTCCTAGCTCATGTTCCAGAATGAAATAAAGCTCTTGCGGCGACCACTGAAGCGCACAAAACAACAGCTAGGGAGAAGCATACGAGGAAGAAGCTGGTGAGGAAGGAGAGCGTGACGAGAGTCCAACAGTGAATCTAGACCGGCAGCAACGGTGCTCCTTCAAGGTGACGAGACTATGAAAGTTCTGGAGCAACGTCGATGGGCGCTCCAACACACGAACAGCCACGACGGGTAAGTTAATAAAACAAAAAAGCCACCCAACGACCACTGGTTCCCGATCACAGGGTTGGTGTCGACACTCTTCATAACCCGCGTGGATGAATGTACCACTCCCTCATTTGTCTATTGTGCACATGCGTGGTGCATATATTCCTTGTTTCGTTCATCGTCCTGTGCGGCTGTCTGCATCGTTCTTCGTCACCGCTCTGAGTGCGAGAATGTCTCGGACGGTGTGCTGACTGAGGCGGCATTTCTGAGGTGCGGGAGCTGTGGAGCCACGGAGGATTTCATGCTTTTTCCTTCAAGTATTCTTTGATAGGTTCGAATCACGCCGATGATTTGTAATGCTTGCTTGTACATGTGTCTGACATCCACTGCGGTGCTGTTCTTTTTCTTCTCTTTCTTCTTTTGTCCTTTTGTCTTTTCTGCTTTTTGCCTCGCTGGAGTAACACTTAGAAAAATTGAAGAGACAGAGGGGACTGTATTAGACATATATGTGGAGAAGCTTTACAAAGAAGAACGTGAAAATTCTTTAACATTGCAGTAAGTTTATTAAGATGTAGCAAATCATGTCTATACAAATAACACTGAAGATGGAGGTTGTACATTTCAGCAGTTACATGTCAAGGAATAAATGGAAGAAATGAGATTGTTTCATCAACACTTTTATCATTTCAACAAAGAGTTACAAATTTAAAAGACCAAGTGAATTTTAAAATCTAACAAAACCGAAGAGATTAATTTTTACATCAAATTTGCTCATATCTGTTATTAAAATCATGTATAATATGTCATGATATTTGAAATTATGCTAGATAAAATAAATTCAAATGTATAGTTGGTATCCACAACAAGAAATGTCATAGTTGTATACATAAAATTTCATGTTCAGTAGTATCTGAAATTTGATAAATTATTTATTTATTTATTTTCGAAATTCATGTTTCAAATTGTATGAAGAGAAAAAAAATGTAATTTAAATAAAAAGAAAAATAGTTATGATATTTAATTATATTGAGCTATATTGATTATTTATTTGTGACTATTCAAAAACATGTTGATTACGATTTGAAATTCAAGAATATGTTCAGAAAAAGTAAAAAGAATAAAAAGGATAAATTATATATGTATATATATATATATATAAATACTGCATATTATTCATTTATTTAAAATACACATATTCAAAAGAAAGGGACTGTGCAATTCGTACATGCAAGCCAAAGGTAAGACCACTTGTTTCACATACAAAACGGTGTCCAAGTTGTTACGAGAACCAACCTTGACAACTCTTGATTCAACATTTTTTGTACATCCTCGTTAACAAATTCAACACAAGGCAGGGAGAAGTCTCTAGGTCATCCCCGACGAGCTCGACTCTCAGAGCCCCGAAATTTACTGCGTGAATGCTTCAAATTGCGGTTTAAACTGCGGTGTGAGAAAACGATGGGATTGAAGTAGAATTGGGCTATGCTTCTTATTTGCGATCGTAAGGTTGTATCGCTCCTTGACTCCTCCGTAACTTCTAAGCGACGTTTCTGTATTTTGCTACATGTAAGTGAGTCAGATTTAATGATCGAGCAACGTTTTCAATAATTTGGTAGTATTTGAGATTTCTTCGTATACAGACGACCATCCCACGCTATTTTCCCCTCTGGAAGTTGAAGTCTTAAGTCATGGATGTATACTTTCTATGTCTAGAGACATATGCTAAAGTTTGCAGGAACATCAAGCTCTGCTTCTCTGGTTGATTACTAGGTTTTAGTGTAAGTGTCAGCTTAATCAACTCGTTGCGTTGGATTGGTCCATTTCGTCACTTGATACTTATGCGATGGAGAAGACAGGCTCTCTCCTTCGTCGTCTCACTTTACGTTGTAGGGATTTCTAGCATGCAGCCACGAGTTGTCGGGTCTGCGATTCTCTTCCTTCTCTGTTGATGTCACAGAAATTTTCTTTTTATAAACATTGTTGCTCTGAAATAGCATCTAATCTACGTCACGATCTTGGTCGTCGGGGTTACAATTTTGACTTCGAACGCTGGCATTAAGCAGATCCATGTTCATTTCCATGCCTAGACATGCATTTAAAAAAAATTCAAGTTCCTTGATTGGCTACCTTTCTTCATATATTTTTATAGGCGGAGATTTTAACTGTGCAGTCGAAATCCTTGTGGGAGTTTTTAAGGTCACTCGACAATGGTGAATACTTACTTGGCTCGATTCAACACCCAGATGGATTAGTTGTTTACTCGATTTTCGGATGTTTGTTTTATTCCTACAAAACTAATGGGAATTAATTGGTTTATTTCTTGATCGCAGTCCGTTTTGGGCGTTTTCGGTGATGAGCAATCAAAGACATAATACAAGATTAGCATCGTAGTAATAAACGACTGAGCAGAAGAATGGTGCAGAATTAAAGCTCTGATGTGTCCACAGCAAATCGAAAGTTGATGATGAAATACACACTAGGGAAGAAGCTCGTTTGGCTTTGGGTATGGGAGTACGTCTTAAAGCACACGTCAGATGTGAATCTTATCAGGAAATTAGCACAGTCACTTCCTGTTCCTGAGGACGTCTGGCGCTTGAAACAGATGATACTGATCAAACAGCTCTCGTTTCTGGTTTCTAGAGGCTTGGATATTCAGAAGACACTGGACACCCTCGAGGCTCTGTATCATGCTTTTGAAATTGAATGTATTGACAAAGCTGGAATGAGATCAGAAGATATACCATCGTTCGTACGATTCAAGGCATCACATCCCGACGCACCAGAGGTGAACATTGAAACAAGGGACTCGCGTGATTTGCAGTCATCAGAGTTGAGCAACAACGAAGAGGAACTGTTCGTGTGGAAAGGACTTCAGCATCCTATATTGGAAGTGAAAGAAGAGCTTCGTAAGTTGCTTAGACTTTCAGCAAGTGAGAAATTGGATGCAAGCAATGCAAAGGTCAAGATCATTGAGAATAAATTGGCAACATTGATAAGGAATTTCTGGGCCATTTATAGCCCAGTGTTCCTGGAGAAAATTGAAGAGGCTGCCAATAACGGAAAGTACAAGCTACAAGGATTGTCGGTGAAGGTTCCATCTGCATCTGATGAAAATGTCACAGATACAGTGGCCGAAAATAGTGCTAACTCCAAAAACGAAGGGGTGCCTGAGAGTAACATACGAGGCTTGAATAACCGTTGTTTGGAAATACCGAAGGATGTCAATGGAAGGATTAAAGACTTGCAGAAACCACGACAAACATTAGATAATAACCATATCGAGCTTCAGAAGTTTGTAAAGTATCCACTTCCTCCACTTCCTCACTTGAAAAAACCAGATAGTAAAACAGAGGCACAAGAGAACATTCCAAGTGAGATGAGCCACAACACTTCTGTAAAACGTAGTCTTCTAAAACCTCTCCCGTCCACACGAGTGCAGGGCTGGGATGAAGCCTCAAGCAGCTGTTCTCCATCTGATTCAAGGCAAATCCGTTTGCCACACATCCTTAGACCCAATCATGTGACTTTGCCGCCTCGTTACTCGACGACAGGTGATTACTCATTTGCAACAGGATCGGGCTTGAAGCGTGGACGGCAGAAAAAAAACTGGTCAGAATTAGAGGTGGAAGCTTTGAAAAGCGGAGTTCGGAAATATGGGGAAGGCCACTGGAAGACCATCCTGCAAAAGAAAAAAGATGTCCTTTATGCACGCACTGGGGTTGATCTTAAGGACAAATGGAGAAATCTTGTGAAGTCCAACTTCGTTCACTCTTGTAGAGATCATACGACATAAAACCATGTTCATGTTACAGTATACCACTACAGCAAAACCAAATTTCAATGCTCTCAAAGCTTCTCAACCACTCTTTGCAAGTATGTTTGAAATTTTTCAGTACTAATCTGTTTCCCTCGATAGATTAGCTTCTTGGCATACCTCTAAATTTCATTCGGGATCGTACATTCCATGCTTTTGTGTTGGTTGTTGGGCTCATTCTACTGCAGTGCGGCACAAAATGGAAATTGAAGTAAAGAACCGCCTCTTCTTCACTCTAAAGCCGGCATTGCCAAGTTCAGTTTCACTTCACTCTTAATTATTCATTTATAATCTTTCATGTTTCGTGCCAATTCTTACCAAATCATCGGTCCATTGGTATTCACATCCACTGATGTTGACCTAATAATTGTGGACTACTACATTAAGGACGATTGTCACTAAAAATGTCATAATTAAGATTTTGGAGGTATCTTACTAAGATACAAAGAAATAAAAAGTAATAAATGTCAACACTTAACATTAAACAGGGTGCTCTCAAAAAAGAGTGTGGAGTAAGATAATTCTCACTTCTAGCATTCTTTACTTATAGTTGATGGTATACGGCATCTAATTTATTACCAAGATATTTTTTTAGCTTCCACCTATCATTAAAATATTCATAGATATATATATATATATATATATATATATTTTAGGCCCTTTTATATTCCTATTGAATCCTAGATTTTTCTTAACCTAGTTGCTATGTAAAAATTCTAATAGTCACTTTAAGAATTTACCTTTAGCCTTTGCTATCTTTTGACTATTAGCAATTTACTATGATTAAATTCTATGTGGTAGTAAGTAATCAAGAATTTGTTTATCTTAAATACTACCACTTACTAATTATTAATTTTTTTTTAATTCTAATGCCTTTATCAATTTAAAGTATCTATTCTTTATTAATACTTTTGTAAGAGCATCAACAAGTATGTCTTATGTAGCATAATACTTCAATATTACCTATTACAATATCTTCAATATTCTGTCATATTAAGTGATGTTAAACATCAATGCATTTAGTTATTAAATGATATTTAGAATTCTTGGCAAATACAAGATATTCTTGATTATTACATGTAATTGAAGTTGCTTCCAATTGCATTAGTCAATTGTCTTCAAAGAATTGTCTTATCCAACAAGCTTCTATTGTACAATGACTTGCCACCATGTACTTAGCATCTATGGTTGATCTTGTAATGGTTGGTTGTTTCTTGGAATTCTATGAAATGATTCTTATTCCATGAAAATGTTTCTTGCAATTCCATGATATGGATTCTTCTAAGCTTTTGTTCTCTTGAATCTTGTCTTTCATTTCTCAAAGAATAGTATTCATCAATATCATTATCTTCAACATTTTCATTTTCTTCATTGTTGGTCTTAAAAATTGTGAATTCTACCTTTTCTATCTTTTCTAGCTCTTCATCTTGATTTATATCTCTACTATCTTCATTATCTTTATTTCTTTGTTTTTTATTGAATTTTGTGAGTCCCACAAATTGATCTTAATTAGTGGATTAGTTAAAAACATAGTTTTAAGTCATTCAATTATACAAATATTAAGAGTATAGTATTTTTTTAAATATTTGAGTATTTATTATAATTTAGAAGTATTTATAAGTTGAAAAAGTGTTATTAGAAGAAAAGTTATAAAAATGGAGTCTTAGTAAGTCTTGGAGGTAATTATTTTAGTTAGTTTAGCATTTTTTTTATTATTAAGTATTAAGAGTTAGTTATTGAAACCAATATCTTCATTGGCTCCTATCTACATGTATTACTTATAAAATCCTATCAATGATTAGTTAGTAGTTAGAGGAAGCATGAAAAAGAGCTTCAAGTCTTTTTAGTTAATTATATAAAAAATAGGATTTTTAGTGGATTTAAATTGATTTTATTACTATAAAAAATCACCAAGATTGGAAAATACAGCCTCATATGGATATTAATATTATAGAAACATTATAGGATTTTTTAGAATTTATTTAGAGTTTATTTAGAATTTTTATGAATTTTTTGAGAATATTTCAAGACTTTGGTAAAATTGAGTTTTATCACCTTGAGAGCCATTATGAAGAAATGAAGTAAGATTTGAAGACTATGCGAGGTTTTTTGGCTAATTGGGTGTTTTTGAACACTATGGTGAAGTCAAAAATGCAAAAAAAGTAGTTTTACTAGTAGAAAATAGGAGGACCAGCAGCTAGAGTAGTCCTTGTAGGAAGAGAGGTGCACAGTTTCCATATGGGTTGTAGCACCTTGGGTATAGGTAGGAAGATAAGACTAAGGCCTCAAGGCCTCTCAATGGGGAGAATATACACTACTTGTGAGCCTTGGTGAGGCTTGAACTCTTGATTTCTTAAGCAAGTTACCCTTGAGGTAAAAATTATTCACTTAACTTTTCTATTATTTACATTCTATCTTTAATCTATCATAACTTACTCATATTAACTTGGAATTATATAATTTTTATGTCATTGGAAAGATAAAAAAATTATCTATCTAAAAATATACTTTTTACTTTTTACTTTTATTTTTTATTGGATGAAAATCCAGTGAACGGACTGTAACTTCATTTTGGATGTTATCCACAAATATACCTTTTCTCTTACTAAGATACATCTTTAAGTGCTTAAAAGCATTTTTGTGCTTTAAACACTCAACAATATAATTTTTGATGTTTTTGTTGGTATCGAAATACATAAGCCTATATGCCTTAGTATCTTCATAATTTCCCTAGAATATACACTTTCTATCTTTTGCATCAAGTTTAGACCTCATAAAAATTTGACATCTTTATATATAAAGTATATCCAAAAATTGTGATATATATATATATATATATATATATATATATATATATAGTTATATATATATATATATATATATATATAAGATTCACTCCTATTCGAAGATTGTTATAATATCATTGATGTAAAAGTACTTGTTGGATACATATTCCTTATATACATTGCATTTACCATAGTTTTTTTCCAAAACTTATAACTAAGATTTTAAAAATGAAGCATGATTTTTGTCATCTCAACAATGGTATAATTTAAATTAATTATTTATTTATTTGAAACAAATGAATAATTTTATTACATAGAAATCAATACAAAATATTGGCTAAGAGAAGATTAGAAGTCCTAGCTACATTGCAATTCAATATTGGCACCAAACTTACTTTATGACTCTTCTTTAAAAAGAACCTAATTTTACATGTTATGGAATCTCGTAAAATATTATTTTATGTTTCTTCCTAATTGCATGCAGAGAATATTATTCTTCCTCTAACTTGAATCAAAAACCTTATATTTGAAAATAAAGTCATTTTTTAGTATTATGAGCAAAACCTGATTTTAAGCAATTTACTTGTAGTCAATTAATCCTTATTAGATTAGTCAATTAAGCCTTCATCTTTTCTATAGGCCAATTAGCAATTTAGAAGACATAATCATTTTATTTGAGCCTCATCTCTTACGTGGTGATTGCATAGAAGAATATCTAGATAAAGTATAGTTTTTTATAGCATCAAAAGAGCTGATGGGCAAAGACGTATTAATCCCAGCTAAAATTAATTTGGATTGGCACATAGTTTGAAGAATTTTATAGAACTTATATTAAGCTCATGCACCACTTTCAAGTATATTTTGTGTGAAGGTAAGCCTAAAACTTGTGAAAGATTATCTTTATCAAGCTTAGACAAAAGATACAAGATTTCTCTATTGTCATTGAATATTTTTTCTCTATTTTTTGACCTCAATTGCTTTGTGCCATATACTCCATATAATTGCAACCTCTTTTTTGGCTCTCTTTGGATGCTATAGATTATTCCATTTAATTAAAATATGACAAGTGAGCTTAATTTTCTATTTAATTTGGTGTAATAAAATCAAATCTTTTAAGTTTGTAATTCAACCTCAAGTATCATTGGAGTTGAGTTAGACAATAAGTGTATTTTTATATTATCTATAATGATTTAGATCAAATCAAATGTTAGCTATTTAGACTTCTTGATGAATTGAATTAAACTAAGATCTATATAAAAATAGATTTATAAAGAACATACAATTTGGTACACATTAAAAAAAGAGATGAATGGAATATCACATTTTAAACTAGGTATGAACATTTCAAATACAACATTGTCATGATATAACACGACTAATAGGTAAAAAAGATGAAGAAATTATTATATTATATAATATCTTACTTCAAATATTATAACAAATTATCTTAAAAAAATAGAAAATAGTCCAAAAAAAAACTAAAGATATAAATAATACTTTTTTGCAAAGTAAGCTTCTACTTACTTTATAAGGCTATGAATAAGGCAAAATAAATTAGATTAAAAAAATAAAGAATATGAGCATATATAGAAGGAAATTAAGAGTTGATTTTAGTAAAAATTAACTCAAAAGGAAAAAATTTGATACCTAAAGAAGACTGGTTATTAATTTGGATCAAAATCAAATCTTGAGGCACAAAACCAAACACCAATGACAATTCAAATATTCTTTTGTAGATCGGAGAGTGGGATAAGAAAAAAAACTTAAAAGATTTCTTTAAGCATTGATTTTGAGTGATTTAAGTATATAATGACTTTGCAAGAGCTTTGCAAAGTTACAATTGTTTTAGGTGATTTTGAAATTTGTGAAATAAAAAGGATGTTATATTTATGAGAAATTCATAAATTTGGTAGTAGATCTATACTTCAAATTTAGAGGACTTATGAAAATAGTTGTTTAAAGTATATGCTATAAATTTGAACTTGATCAAATGATTAAATTGAAGGTTATTGAATTTCAAGTAGGTTGAGGTCTTAGAAATTGGACTTTAAGAAGCAATTAGGATTTCTAAGATCTCTAGCAATCTACTAATTGGATTGGAAAATAATTATATGTAAGAATAATAGACTTGATTTTCTATACATATATAAAATTTGAAAATAATTAAACAATTTAAAAAGGAGATATTGGGAGTGGAAGTTTAACATTCAGATTAGAGTAGGAGACTAACCAATATCTGAGCAGATTTTAGGATTTTTCTTCTATTTGGTAAGTGCAATT